CCCACGCCCACTCTGTGTTAGAATGTCATGCAGCAAACTGGTACACAAGTATGGGTGCGAAGTCTTTGTAAAGTTACTGTATGCGTCCATCGTCAGGAAACATATCTTTTGTAAGTTCCTCATATGAATGACCTTGGCCTAAGGTAACATGGGTCACATGTGTAAAAACATTAAAACATTATTACTTGGAGAGGTAGACAGTCGTATCTTTTATATTTTCTTTCAAGACCAAATGTCGATTTTATTAGCGTCATTTGTGGTTCCAAGGCTGACATTCGTGTATCCTCCCCGAACAGCTATAGTGTTTCTAATTCTGAGTAGCATGGAGTGCATAAGGGCATTGACTGCCCGTAGAGGAATGTGATGCCATTCCCAGGTAAATGCATTGGTCAGTTGGCAGGGGTTATTTGGAATTTTTGTTCGATCCAAAACTCGTCAGTCTAATTCATCACACAAGTATTTTGTTGAGGACAAATTGAGGCTGTATGAAAGCCAATCAATGGGGACGCTGTTCTGGGTTGCAGGAAATTCCTACAAACTCTTAAAACGTGTAGCCTAGCGTTATCATGCTGAAAGATCAAATGGTGCCTTATAATAAAAAGCACCACATGAGGCCTCAGGATCTCATCTCGATAGCGTATAACCGTTGAATTCCCTTTAATGATCAGTAAAGGTGTCTTTAAACCATGATAACTTCCTCCCTAAACCACAACCGAGCAATCCCCAATCTCTCGTGCTCCGAAACGCTCTCTTTGACACTTCATCTGATCAAAATAAGGTAAATCGAGATTAACCCGTAAAGAGCATGGCCCTCCAACGTCTCATAGGGGCACATGTACCGTCAACCATCCAATACGACGTGTTCGCCGTGTTGGTAACAAAATTTGGCCTCATACAGTCTATTTCTCACAGTTTTTGGGTGGTTAGTCTCCAGTCAAACAAGTAGGCAAGCATAATGAACCGGCCGTGACGTCACGACGTTACACGGACCTCGGTCTGTCATCAACTCATCCCGTGGTGTTGAGGTGTAAAACTAACCGACTTATAGTCGATTTGTGAACTCCGCGCTACCTCCCACAATCATTGCGAGAGCCTGTTTCCTACCAAGTTCGGATAACCGTGGCATATTCGTAAAAACAACTATTTATTGCAAATGTCGTGAAATCGACACTGGTTTCATTTTTAACATTTATTGGGGATTAGGTAATGTGCCCCAATATTTCTCTTACTTTTTTATACGGATTTGTATCTCCAATACAAAATATTTTATAATGAAAGAAGTTGCGCTTCTTTATCTTTTCAGTATGCATTAACCAGCAATGTTAATTACATAACTGGGGTTAGGTTTGGGGTAATGACACATGTCTTGGCACGTCTCCGCCGACACACATAACATCGCCATGAATTGAGCTGGTTATGTAATGTAATTGTATAACATGAAGGAGACTTGGTGCAGGTTCTTCTTCCAACGTCACATTTATTCCAGAAAGTGGAAATTATTTTATTTAGTGCGTGAGCAGTTTACAGAAATTCCCGAAATAAAATCATTGAATGCCCTATCAAAAAAGAAGACATTTCTTACTGGTAAGGATGCGTACCAAGACTATTGGTTAGCGTCTATAAAGCTAACACAGGTTAAGATTTTTGATCTCTCTCATGTTTATAAAACACTATAGTTCAAGTAATTGTTAAGCTGAGTTTAATGAAATTTCAAGAATGATGGGTTGAAATTTCTGGTATGGCTTTTTCTCTTTGCTTCCTCTTTGAGTTAGTGCCAGGACAGGAACGCCGAGGCGTTAGCTAAATAATTAATAAAAAATAACAAGCAGATTGTAAACAGTCATTTTCAATGTAAGCAAATGTCGTTAAAGATTGTTTTTCTCCACTGAGTTTGGCTACGATTTGAAATCCGTCGACAAGTTACCTTTACTTCGATTTGTTCTTTATGTATTTTTTTCGAGATCTTGTTAAAAGCGGTTAATTTCAAATATATATTTGAACCTGGTTGTTGGAGGGAATGGATGGAGAGACGATCATTAGCGCTTTAACGTGTATGTAAACAATATCTTCTTTAGATATTTCAAATGTAATTAAAAACATCACACGGTTATGTGTTATGTAAAACTATCACACGGTTATGTGTTATATAAAAACATCACACGGTTATGTGTTATACAAAACTATCACACGGCTATGTGTTATATAAAACTATCACACGGTTATGTGTTATATAAAAACTATCACACGGTTATGTGTTATATAAAACTATCACACGGCTATGTGTTATATAAAACTATCACGCGGTTATGTGTTATATAAAAATATCTTATGGTTATGTGTTATATAAAAATATCACTCGGCTATGTGTTATACAAAACTATCACACGGCTATGTGTTATATAAAACATCACACGGCTATGTGTTATATAAAAATATCTTATGGTTATGTGTTATATAAAAATATCACTCGGCTATGTGTTATACAAAACTATCACACGGCTATGTGTTATATAAAACTATCACACGGCTATGTGTTATATAAAAACTATCACACGGCTATGTGTTATATAAAACTATCACGCGGTTATGTGTTATATAAAAATATCTTATGTTTATGTGTTATATAAAAACTATCACACGGCTATGTGTTATACAAAACTATCACACGGCTATGTGTTATACAAAACTATCACACGGCTATGTGTTATATAAAACATCACACGGTTATGTGTTATATAAAAATATCTTATGGTTATGTGTTATATAAAACTATCACACGGCTATGTGTTATATAAAACTATCTTATGGTTATGTGTTATATAAAACTATCACGCGGCTATGTGTTATATAAAAATATCTTATGGTTATGTGTTATATAAAACTATCACACGGCTATGTGTTATATAAAACTATCACACGGCTATGCGTTATATAAAACTATCACACGGTTATGTGTTATATAAAACATCACACGGCTATGTGTTATATAAAACTATCACGCGGTTATGTGTTATATAAAACATCACACGGCTATGTGTTATATAAAACTATCACGCGGTTATGTGTTATATAAAAATATCTTATGGTTATGTGTTATATAAAAATATCACGCGGTTATGTGTTATATAAAAATATCTTATGGTTATGTGTTATATAAAAATATCACGCGGTTATGTGTTATATAAAAATATCTTATGGTTATGTGTTATATAAAACATCACACGGCTATGTGTTATATAAAACTATCACGCGGTTATGTGTTATATAAAAATATCACGCGGTTATGTGTTATATAAAACATCACACGGTTATGTGTTATACAAAACTATCACGCGGTTATGTGTTATATAAAAATATCTTATGGTTATGTGTTATATAAAAATATCACTCGGCTATGTGTTATACAAAACTATCACACGGCTATGTGTTATATAAAACTATCACACGGCTATGTGTTATATAAAAATATCACACGGTTATCTTTTTATATAAAAAGTGTAGGTTATTGAGAAATACGTGTTGGATCGGGGTGCACGTTCATAATAACGTTCGATTTCCATCCATCAGGGCCTGTATTTTATGTTTGTTCTTTCGACAGTGTATATCTTGTGATTTATGTCCTTCCAACTTTAGCTGGATAAACTTCAAATCAGGTGCACAATAGCAGCATGACTTGCGGATGTGTACCTTCATTTTTCATGTTGTTTTTGCTCACTAAATTGAGTTATGTCCCTTTTGTTGGTTCAGAAAATAAAATCTTGTAAAATCGTTTCACAGTTTATTCATTGTTTTGTTTGGTCACCATCCAACTCCTCATTTTGCTGGACTATTGTATATATACATGAGGAATTCTGACTATCGACTGGGATAGAAATCATGAATCGGAAAGGTAGTATATTCGGACATCCTCTGTTTTCACGCGAGCACAGGATCTGTGGTGTTTAGGTAAGAAAACGTTGACTTTCTAATCAACCTGACAGAAAAGATGAGAAAAATCTACACCATGGCTGTTATTACGCCTGACCCAGTGTCAGATCACGAAACTAAATCGCTAAACACGGGTTAGAAAACTGAATGCCATATTGCTACACCTGAACAATATACTGGAAGCCATTTGTTAAAAGCTTAAAGCTTCAAATTCGCTACCCATTGCGGTTATTGCCAATGAAAACAACAGCCTTATCCCATGTAAATGGTCGCTTCTTAATAAGACGTTACATGAGCGTGGTAATGACCCTAGTTAGGAATGTATCGTGACTTCCACAGAGGTAGAACATGTTAACGACTTAAACGGCTGTCTCTGCTACAACTCTAAATTACCTAGGTTTCTCTCTTAACTTTCATGAAATACCTTCTATCAATTTCTGGAATTCTTTGTAGTTAAGTATATAAAATCAAACTTATGTTTAAAGTAAGGTATTCAAAAACATAAAATGAATATCTTTGATCGTCGATTACATTTTTTAAAAGTCTGACATATATTTATGGCTTTTCTGAGAAATAAAAGATCGGAGTTACCCTAAAGAAAGATATCTAATTTTATCTAATGTCCAGATTTTCCATCTGGATAGCATCACTTCTTCCGCTTGACCATTACCCCAGCTACGGCCCCAGATGCCGAATCTCGTGTTCAGGTAACCTATTACATTTCTGAAAGATGAAACGGTGCCAAGAAAGTGTTTCGATCTAGGTGAGGTTCCAAGTGGGATTTCATAGTTTGTACAATTACTTTTTTATTTCTTTTTCTTGATGAAATGATTGGAAATAATTGTATTACTATCGTGTGCAACAAAGTTTGACATAACAACCATAACATTTCAAAGTTTTATTTAAATTTGGGAGTACTTGTATATATGAATCCTTTACCCCATTGTTGGCCCCATAGAGAAGTTCTATGAAGATATAAATAGAAAAAGCAACTTCTTAAAATACCCAAACTTTCTTACGTTTCATTATCTGGTTTAAAACTTAAAAAGCTGATGTAAAAGGATGAGAGTGCTCAGAGGAAAGCAGAACTAGAATTGAGTCTGTGGAAGGAAAACTGGGCATGTAGTCTCAGACAATTGCGTATTGGATATTATCTCAGGCCGACGGACATATATATCAGCAATAAGCAGAAGATGTAAGAATCCGCTCGTGTTTATTTCCGCTCGTGTGCTATATTTACATCTGACAGTTCATTATCTGCGCGTGGAATCAATAACTTCTGAGGGCACCATTCACAAAAAAACTGATGGGAGAAAGGATTTTAACTTTGTGGTTGGTTGGAAATGTTCACTTGTGTTTGATACCCTAAACATATACCGGATTGCAGTCCTATACTATTCATTAGTTCGTGTTTTAACTATTTTTTGATACAGTACAATGGCACATAAATGGTATGACCATTTTACGGTCTGGCTGAAAATAGGATTGATTTTACAAATTGTGTCCACGATTGTGTTTATTGTCGGATTTTCTACGGATGTGTGGATATTCGCGACATTCCGGGAAGATGCGAGACGTGAGTACGGACTGTGGAGGTATCTGTTCTACACGTACAGCTCACGTTTCGAGGACGTTGGGGCTATTAGGGCCAACATAGGCAATAATGCTATTGTAATTACACGATCAGGTGAGAATCCAGCAGTATTTATATACTCCGTGTTGGTTTTTCTGGTTACTTTAACTTCATTCCTGAATGCAAAACAGCACTGTATTTTGATAAGGTGCACGTACTGACGGCGTCAGCGGCTCAAATAATTCACATTGAAAGGTCAAGCCAAATTTGTTCAACACGATACTCCTCTTTTTGAAGAGTATTGAATACCCTTGACTTCTCCATAAGATATTTGTGTTCCAGCTTTGAAGAGATCCATGTCTTTGATATTAAAAAAGACTTCAATAGAGCGGTTTCAGTCTCATACTACAGATCGAGAATGTTAGCGCTATATATTACAAAAATATACTGTTAACAATTAAGTGGGGGATCCTGATTCACTATCTTTAAAAACACGCCTACACGAGCGGTAATATAGATAGTGGCTGTGTAGATAACAGACGTACTTATCTCGTATTTTACCGTTATATCTATTGCAGCACTACTGTACACAAATATAACCCCGCTGTTCCTATAGATGTACATTATGTAACAGTGTTGTACGTCACAAAATATAACCCCGCTGTTCCTATAGATGTACATTATGTAATAGTGTGTACTGTACACAAATATAACCCCGCTGTTCCTATAGATGTACATTATGTAACAGTGTGTACTGTGTTGTACATCACAAATATAACCCCGCTGTTCCTATATATGTACATTATGTAACAGTGTGTACTGTGTTGTACGTCACAAATATAACCCTGCTGCTCCTATAGATGTACATCATGTAACAGTGTGTACTGTGTTATACGTCACAAATATAACCCTGCTGCTCCTATAGATGTACATTATGTAACAGTGTGTACTGTGTTGTACGTCACAAATATAACCCCGCTGTTCCTATAGATGTACATTATGTAACAGTGTGTACTGTATGTCACAAATATAACCCCGCTGTTCCTATATATGTACATTATGTAACAGTGTTGTACGTCACAAAATATAACCCCGCTGTTCCTATAGATGTACATAATGTAACAGTGTTGTACGTCACAAATATAACCCCGCTTCTCATATAGATGTACATTATGTAACAGTATGTACTGTGTTGTACGTCACAAATATAACCCCGCTGTTCATATAGATGTACATTATGTAACAGTATGTACTGTGTTGTACGTCACCAATTTAACCCCGCTGTTCCTATAGATGTACATTATGTAACAGTGTTGTACGTCACAAATATAACCCCGCTTCTCATATAGATGTACATTATGTAACAGTGTGTACTGTGTTATACGTCACAAATATAACCCCGCTGTTCCTATAGATGTACATTATGTAACAGTGTGTACTGTGTTATACGTCACAAATATAACCCCGCTGTTCCTATAGATGTACATTATGTAACAGTGTTGTACTGTACACAAATATAACCCCGCTGTTCATATAGATGTACATTATGTAACAGTGTTGTACTGTACACAAATATAACCCCGCTGTTCATATAGATGTACATTATGTAATAGTGTGTACTGTACACAAATATAACCCCGCTGTTCATATAGATGTACATTATGTAATAGTGTGTACTGTACACAAATATAACCCCGCTGTTCCTATAGATGTACATTATGAAACAGTGTACACTATGTTGTACGTCACAAATATAACCCCGCTGTTCCTATAGATGTACATTATGTAACAGTGTGTACTGTGTTATACGTCACAAATATAACCCCGCTGTTCCTATAGATGTACATTATGTAACAGTGTGTACTGTGTTATACGTCACAAATATAACCCCGCTGTTCCTATAGATGTACATTATGTAACAGTGTGTACTGTGTTATACGTCACAAATATAACCCCGCTGTATCTATTGATGTACATCATGTAACATTTTGTGTACTGTGTTGTACGTCACAAATATAACCCCGCTGTATCTATAGATGTACATCATGTAACATATTGTGTACTGTGTTGTACGTCACAAATATAACCCCGCTGTATCTATTGGTGTACATCATGTAACATTTTGTGTACTGTGTCGTACGTCACAAATATAACCACGCTGTTCCTATAGGTGTACATCATGTAACAGTATGTACTGTGTTGTACGTCACAAATATAACCCCGCTGTATCTATTGATGTACATCAGGTAACATTTTGTGTACTGTGTTGTACGTCACAAATATAACCCCGCTGTTCCTATATATGTACATCATGTAACAGTGTGTACTGTGTTATACGTCACAAATATAACCCCGCTGTTCCTATAGATGTACATTATGTTACAGTATGTACTGTGTTGTACGTCACAAATATAACCCCGCTGTATCTATAGATGTACATCATGTAACATATTGTGTACTGTGTTGTACGTCACAAATATAACCCCGCTGTATCTATTGATGTACATCATGTAACATTTTGTGTACTGTGTTGTACGTGACAAATACATGGATCTAGGAAACGATATAGCTGTTGAATTATGATGAATCGTTTCACGAACTTTTCCTTCAATCATTCTTCCTTGATGCCAGTGGTTTATTCATTCCTCTTCGTTATCACAGTTGTTTATTTACCACGTGTTCTTAATTTGTCTAAGTCTCCGCGTACCGCGGCTGGCTTCCCGTCTTACATTTATGACGTAATTAAGCAGGTGTTTTTTCAATATTGCATTAAAAACAAGTGCCCCGTGGTGATCCTCTTATCTTGTGTGTCCGTGTTTACATCTTCTAAATAATGACAGGAAGTGGTGTTTACGAATTCCTGATGCACATTCCCCCGAGGAGGCCCACAATGGGGGATGATCAATCCGTGTATACCCCTTGGCATGTCATTCAAAATTTCTTTTACTGTTGTCGGACTTTATTTGATTTAGGCAGAAATTTTCAATTACATGAAACAAACAAATAAGACATCAATTGTAACTTCTTACAGAATCATTTTCCACAAAAAAATGAAACATTGTTGTGGCATCAACAAACATGATATGAAACAGTTGGAAATGCTGTCTACATTTCAAGCGCGCAAGGACTTGAAATGAATTAGTTCGCTAGTTATAAGTTTCGATCTCCGCATTCTTTCACATTTGTACCACATTATGTAATTATTTGTTTGTTATTTAACCTATGAGTCGGATGGCTCATGGAAAAATAAAATGAATGAATGACTCCTCCCTCTGCCGGGTCTCACCGACGTATATCGACATGAATTCCCAACCCATGGTCCATGTCACTCTACTACATGTACAGTGTACCGACAAGCGGAATTCGACAATTTTTATCCCTAAAGTTGTTGAATACACCGTTTGTTATCGTCAGTAAGATAATAGACACTACAAGTCCTGGGCAGATGCTGTAGACATTGTCTTCAGTCTGTAATAATGTATTGTTGTTTATCTTAGTTCTTTGTCACTCATTTTTGAATGCCTAACTCTATATCTCTTTCCTTGGTGAAGTCACATTGCATACTTTCTCGTTTTGTTGTTATTAAAGAGAAAACATAGGGTTGTTTGTATATGTGATAAAATGAACTTCCGTATGATATTATATGGACTTAATCGACAAGCATTCACGAACGAAATCATGATTAAATACCAACCAATATTTGTTACCCCAAATCATGTTTTCTGCAACAATCGAGAGAGAAAAAATGATGCCAGTTTTATGGCAATAAGTCTCCAATCTATGGCTGTAAAGAGTGTGATGAAACCTACAGCATTAATTAGTGTGATGAAACCTACAGCATTAATTAGTGTGATGAAACCTACAGCATTAATTAGTGTGATGAAACCTACAGCAGTAATAAGTGTGATGAAACCTACAGCAGTAATAAGTGTGATGAAACCTACAGCAGTAATTAGTGTGATGAAACCTACAGCAGTAATGAGTGATGGCCCCTATAGCAGTAATTAGTGTGATGAAACCTACAGCTGTAATGAGTGATGGTCCCTATAGCAGTAATTAGTGTGATGAAACCTACAGCTGTAATGAGTGATGGTCCCTATAGCAGTAATTAGTGTGATTAAACCTTTAACTCTAATGAAAGTAATACAGCTGTAATGAGTGATGGCCCCGATAGCAGGTTACATATTATAGCACCTAGAATCAACTACTTGTTGTACTAATATATTATTTGCTGAAAATATTTTGATTAACCACATGAAAAGCGTCAATAAATTACTCAACACACCAAGCACTGTAAACACTCTTTATTCCTTACTTTATGTCGGCGCGTTATTTTTCCAGTGTAATAGAATAATTATGAGTTAATTACCCGACGAACTTTGTCTATAAAAGAAAAGCATTTATGATCATATCTAGATCTTCTGAGCTGATCTGTTTCTGTTACAGACTGGTACCGAGCTACCCAGGCCATGGAGTGCTTTGGTCTGATCTGTATTGTCATCGCTACCTTCCTTCTTCTGCTTTACTTCTTTGTCGCATCGTGTAAAAGGAGGAATGCTCTCGTCGCTACTATCATCTTTACGTTTGCTGCTGGTAGGTATATCGTAGGGAGGAAATACTTGTTACAGGAAAATATTACACATATTACAATTGCATATATCTAGTTAATAAATTCTTTGATATTCATAATATTTTTGAATTCTATCTATAAATATGCAAGCCTTTCATTTCAATTACTTAAATACATAATGTCCGTGTGGTACCACTGAAGGAAATTTTATTCCAATGACATGTCATTCTTAGCTATAAAATCATCCCTTCTCACTCTATCGTATAAAAACAACATGCGTATTGAAAGTTCCGGATGATCATATACGTTTGAAAGTAATTTAATTGTATCAACTACAAGCGTTAATTAGTTATTAATCGAAGTGCGGACGTCGGTGACGGTATTTTCAAATGGTCAGCTAATTTGTTGTAAAACGTCCGTTGAATTAGTTTTAAGAAGGATGACGTAAGAAATTTCTCAAATTTTCGTTCACTGGTCTACATGTATTTTTAAACAGATAAAAACACAATTTCAGTTTTAGTTTTATTTACACTGGTCATTTTCTTAACACTTGTCGTAATTATTTTTACAGTGGGATTCATCGTCATCGGCATCGCCATTTTTGCATCCAAGTTCGACAACTATGGCTACGAAATAGGCTGGTCCATGGGCTTGGCCATCGCCGCGGCCATATTGGCTTTTGTGGCGGGCATCATGGAGGTTTTAGAAATTAAGTAATTTATCAGTGTTTTACTATATCTCTGTAGCCAAAACCAGGAGTTTCCTCCATCAAAGACAAGTAGATTTTGGGGTTTTTATCGCTGTTACTGCCAGGAAAAGGCGTGACCAGGTGCTCTACCAAAAATTACTTTTGCAAAGTTGGGAGATAAACTTGTGTAGATTTGGCTGGACGAGGTCGATGTACTTGTCATTCAAACTATCATGTGACCAATACCACTCTAACCGCCTCTAAGTCGTTTTAATTGTTCTCCAAGTTCTTTTCGATGTTTTATATTTTTCTGTTGGCCTACCTTGAACCTGAATGGCAAAACAAATTAACGTTAACGCGAATATAGAAAAATGAGATAGGAAACCACTCCGTCCACTTACTTTCCAGTATAAAAAGTATGAAAAAGTATACCATGGCTGCCATATCAAACTTTACCTATGTTTGGAAGTAATGGGTGTAACCTCGGGGAATGTACATAACGTTTGTGGAGTTCTAACACAGGTTTGGAGTTCATATAGTTATACTTTTTATATAGATATATATTTTTCTCTACTCAAAGTTCTTAACTGTACGCATCCGTGTTGAGGTTACAAGTAGAACGCTTATCAAGACTAACGGAAATTGATATTTTAACCAATATTCCATTATCACAATTATGTACTCTTCTCCAGACACGGACTTCAAAATTGCCAAGGTTTGTTAGCGAGCAACATTGCGTAATAACTATTATGTTGTCTTTTTGATATCACACTTGTGCTATTATCTTTGATGTATTTCGTAGACAATGTCTTGACAAGGGTTTCATTTGTGACCTTGACCCTTAATGTGTTTGGTGACGTAGGCAGCAGAAGTGTAAATGGTCGTTGTGTTCTTGTTTCTCGGTTTGTAATTAACTGTTATTCCCTAATGTCTTCCGGTCGTGATTGGTGGGGACCACTTTCCTGTAAAGTGTTGATACGGCCCAAGGAAGACAACTCTAATAAACTTGATGACTCCCCTCGTCAAACCTCATGTTATCTTTATATAAAAATATATTATACATATTTAAAGTCTGGTTGGTATTTCGTTATGAGTGAATGCATGGCTCAACTGTTTAAAATGTATTATGCAAATATGACATTTATTTAGCTAGTTTGCTTTGTGTAATGTTGTTCTTTCTTACAATAAACATTTTAATAAGAATGAAAACCTTTTAGTTTTTACTTTTAATCTCCAGACAGAAAGACAAACTCTACGTGAGGTAATGAACGATCTATGACAGGTTTCCTGTATATAACTCGTATTTGTTTAAAGTTTGAATTTTCCAGTAATTTATCAATATTACAAACGTAATACATTTTAGGAAGAGAAATCAAGTTTAAAGTTTATATTAATTCCGTTTTTAATACTCAAGACTCCATCTCCCCACACCTTTTTTTATTTTCACAACCTAAAGGTACTGGAAGAAAAACGAACTCCAAGGAAGTCCTGAAGACGGGCTCGTACCAGTATCAAATTCATGACAGACCAAATACTCCATACAATATTCATTTAATACACAATATCAGACTCGTTACTCCTTTTCAGACTGACTCAATACTCCACGCGAGACTCCTTAATCCATAGCTTGCGATTCAAAACCTGATATATGTCCTCACCCAGTATCCGATGAAATACCAAATAATACCTCTCAGACTCCATAATACAAGTCAGTCCCACTCGATACTGTTTGGAATACTTAATTATCCATGATGGTTTTTAGTTTCTTTACTTCTCCGCAGACTCAATGACATACCCAATATCAAATACTAGACACAATTCGTCATGTCAACTGGATTCATCATTTTATGATATACCCTATTAAGTGTTCCGTGACAGTTTCCATACCGCATATTGCAATTGACTCAATGACTCAGAAACGAAGAAACGAAGAAAACATAATTTTAATTCTAACACAAATTCCATGAATCTAAGGCAAATTATGAACAAAAGAAATATGTACTCCTGAAAAAGTACAGGGAGAATAAAACCGGTGTTCCGGAAGAGTAAGCGTTTTCTGCTTCATCGACGACACCCGCAATGTAAATCTTGGACAAAGTAAGTCATATCACGGTCTCAAATGAGAACAAAGTAAACAGCAGCAGAACGAACAGGCAATCTAACGAGCGTCAAACATTTCTAGCAACCCCGTCTTGTGTGTTCATCTGTCAGATGACAACATCTTGCACGGAAATTGTTACATTGGGAACAGGCACTAGGATATCGAATGAACTTCGACATGTAAACACCGTAGGTTGGTGATGCAGGGCTGTTGATCGCCACAGATAGAAATTTTACAATAGGGAAATTAAAGCCACGCTTATCATACATCCACGTGGAAAGTTTCCAATATCTATGATGGACATGGTTAGTAAATTTCAATATATCTGAAAGTGAAATTGAAGGACTAAAAACCAAAAACAAGTCAGCCAACAGATGGGCACAGTTTGTAACTGTAGGTATGTCAATTGTCTGTTGGAAGATCTTACCGACAGATGACAGAAGATGAATATTTGCTTTACAAGTTTATTCTTCATGGAAAATGGTTACGTGATCTGGAAAGGTAGAAAAAAAGTTGAACAAGAGACTTGTTTTCAAGCACCGGTTACTGAGTAGACGCTCTGACAGAGGTTCACCAACTCAGCCTTTACGTTCAGGCTCTGGTACCTTTCGTGTCCAAGTTAAGGTCGTCGTGTAGGAGTCTGTCCAGATAATCATGCTCTTCAGTAATCGGATCAGTTCGCGGCGTCGTGAAAAGGAATCAGATGGAAGGCGAAGCTGCAGTTCGTGATGCCGGAAAGCGATTCTGAAATCCAGGAAATATTGTCCAAACAAAGACAGATGACGTCATTTGTAACTTGGAATTTCATTGGAGTGGAAAGTAACCGGTCACGTCGTCGCTGCAGGCAGAGACGGTAATGCAAAACTGACTCATCTTTAGTTAGTGCTTTTGTGAAAAATGATGTAGGGGTCGGTCCGTCAACTGTGGCCATTGTACCATAAAACGAAGGTGCTGAGAGATCAAACCACGTTGGTTGATGTAGCCTGGGAAGAAGGTGATGTAGAGTCGATCTGTCCGGCTCTGTTTGACAAGCTGACAGTTAGAGGTTGTTCCACTATCATCAGCGCAATCTTCATTTACATTAATACTATCCTGTTATCGTTACTTTTGTGGAGTTGACTACTCCCACGATAAGCGTTTTCGCGTTACACTTGCATAATACGGAGTTTTAGACCCAATAATTAATTCACATGTAAAATTACATGTAATCATTCTTCTCAGTAGTTAATGGGCCTTCCACTTACTATGTGTTACTAAAGACATAACTTATATATACTGGATTTTACATAAGTAATAACGAACCATATTTCAGGTTATAAAATCTCTGTACATGTATAACATTATAGTGGTATTGGACATTATACACGTACAAACAATGCACATGTTAGTTGCAGTATTATGCACTATACATCATTGTGGTTGTATATACCTACTCATTGTAACACTCAATAGTTTTATCGATTCGAAGGTAGATGTTGAAGATCAAAGAAGAAAAAAATACTTGTAATTAATTAATTAACAGATAATTTTAATACATTTGACTTGAATAAATGACCCTGCATACCGCATTCCACGAAGAACAATAGCTTATCATATACATAGTCTGCGGGAACGAACCGTGTCCTGAGGGATAATAAGCTCGATATCAGGCTATATACAGAGGTATATATACTGTACCATGTTGTACTCGTCACTGTTAGGTAAGGAATATCATCTCGTAATCAATTATGAAGTATTAATGAGGTTATGTAACCGTGTCTGTGGTAATCAATCACCTTGAAGGCTGGCGTACAGAAGGCTGTCTACAGGTGTTGGGTTTTGTGATTTTGGTCTGCATCCCCTTCCCCGGGACTGCTTGTACGTAATCATTCTTTAGTCAAACTTTTATATTGCGTTTAGGAACACTGTGGGGAAAAGCTGGTTGTTATTATGTAAGACATTTCGTAGTACTGCATGCCTGGTTATTTCATCTATAGCCTCGGTTTTATCTTGTCACGTTGAATCTTTCGGTAAACTGCGGTGAAACAACGCAATAATGCGTTTGAAATATTGCTATTGTTTTGGGAATACGTGATTACAACCTCAACATCTCATGATGGTGATTTGTTTCAATACGAAAGAGAATTTATTGATTTCAATTAAAAACAACTTAATTAATTACTATGTCCCCGGTATGAATTTAATCAGTCATCTGCTTGTTTACACATTGTTTCACTTATACACGCAATTCTGCCTCTACAGACTTCATCAGTTCATTACTGTCTCTGTGTTTGTTAGTGTCTTCATCAGTCCATTACTGTCTCTGTGTTTGTTAGTGTCTTCATCAGTCCATTACTGCCTCTGTGTTTGTTAGTGTCTTCATCAGGCCATTACTGTCTTTGTGTTTGTTAGTGTCTTCATCAGTCCATCACTGTCTGTGTTTGTTAGTGTCTTCATCAGTCCGTTACTGTCTCTGTGTTTGTTAGGGTCTTCACCAGTCCGTTACTGCCTCTGTGTTTGTTACTGTCTTCATTAGTCCATTACTGCCTCTGTGTTTGTTAGTGTCTTCACCAGTCCGTTACTGTCTGTGTTTGTTAGGGTCTTCATCAGTCCATTACTGCCTCTAAGTTTGGAAGTGTCTTCATCAGTCCATTACTGCCTCTGTGGTTGTTAGTGTCTTCATCAGTCCATTACTGCCTCTGTAGTTGTTAATGTCTTCATCAGTCCATTACTGCCTCTGTGGTTGATAGTGTCTTCATCAGTCCATCACTGTCTGTGTTTGTTAGTGTCTTCATCAGTCCATTACTGCCTCTGTGATTGTTAGTGTCTTCATCAGCCTATTACTGCCTCTGTGTTTGGTAGTGTCTTCATCAGTCCATTACTGTCTCTGTGTTTGTTAGTGTCTTCATCAGTCCATTACTGCCTCTGTGGTTATTAGTGTCTTCTTCAGTCCATCACTGTCTGTGTTTGTTAGTGTCTTCATCAGTCCGTTACTGTTTCTGTGTTTGTTAGTGTCTTCATCAGTCCATTACTGCCTCTGTGTTTGTTACTGTCTTCATTAGTCCATTACTGCCTCTGTGTTTGTTAGTGTCTTCATCAGTCCGTTACTGTCTGTGTTTGTTAGGGTCTTCATCAGTCCATTACTGCCTCTGTGTTTGTTACTGTCTTCATTAGTCCATTACTGCCTCTGTGTTTGTTAGTGTCTTCATCAGTCCGTTACTGTCTGTGTTTGTTAGGGTCTTCATAAGTCCATTACTGCCTCTGTGTTTGGTAGTGTCTTCATCAGTGTCTTCATCAGTCCATTACTGTCTCTGTGGTTGTTAGTGTCTTCATCAGTCCATCACTGTCTGTGTTTGTTAGTGTCTTCCTCAGTTCATTACTGCCTCTGTGTTTGTTGGTGTCTTCATCAGGCCATTACTGTCTTTGTGTTTGTTAGGGTCTTCATCAGTCCGTTACTGTCTGTGTTTGTTAGGGTCTTTATCAGTTCATTGCTGCCTCTGTGTTTGTTAGTGTCTTCATCAGTTCATTTCTGCCTCTGTGTTTGTTAGGGTCTTCATCAGTCCATTACTGTCTCTGTGTTTGTTAGTGTCTTCATCAGTCCATTACTGCCTCTGTGTTTGTTAGTGTCTTCATCAGTCCATCACTGTCTGTGTTTGTTAGTGCCTTCATCAGTTCATTACTGTTTCTGTGTTTGTTAGTGTCTTCATCAGTCCGTTACTGTTTCTGTGTTTGTTAGTGTCTTCATCAGTCCATTACTGCCTCTGTGTTTGTTAGTGTCTTCATCAGAACATTACTGTCTCTGTGTTTGTTAGTGTCTTCAACCTACTATCTTTCTTGGTTTTTTTTTCTTTTATTTTATCAATATTTACGATATAGAGAATTTATTTGTTATCTTTTAATGTTTACATTTCCATTTCTAAATTTTATTTAAAACCAACATGTCCTAAGACGTTACTATCACAATGATGTGATACAGGAAAAACTTTCAACATTCTCTTCAAACAAGATATTTATCAATTAGTGAGTCGTCTTGGTGGTTTTTTGTGTACATTGATGGCATTTAATTTCAACATAGAAGAATTATTAAAATGCATGGTTCAATATGATCGATTACAGATGAAAGCCTCCTTTTAACTGTCGCTACTTACGCAATAGTCAACCTATCAATGACTAGAATCAATTACACTACATAAAAATTGATTGTCATCATTTCTACAATAGTGTGTTTACCTACAATACCTGACAGTCCCGGGGGACTTACATGTTTGTGTACTGCCATTGTTAGGACTTATTACGTTCAGTTGCGCTCTAATGTCGCAATGATTCCTGATGAACAAGTCTTAATTTTTAAAAAGAGGATATCGACTTTTCTCTTTGAGATGGTCATCGCTTTCGTTTGTTTCCTGTAAATCAATAGACCATTAGCAACGTGTCAACAAAGGTACTCTATTCATCAATACGGATAGCACTGGAAGGCGGGGCGACACGGCACACAGTTCTCCAGGACTTGTGAAACAGATAGGTTGTATACATGCTATGTATACAGAACTGTCATACACATATACAGTCTGGAAACCCTTAGTGTTTGTGAATCGTTACAGTAGGTATTGTACTCATCAATATTGATATCTCGTCGAGGGCAGCGAGACTACAACGTGGTCTCATGCTCCATTACCTAAATTGTATGACATTATCCAAGTGTGTTGTATTTTTAATGAATAAGCCAAAGACATGTGGGTTAAATTTTATCACTGACAATACTCTGAACGGAAATTAAGGATCGTACGGTTCATTGGCTTGTTTAAATATCCGAGTCCTTAGTACCACATGTGTACAGAGCACCATTGACGTGTAGGGCTGTATAAACATGGCCTGTACCCGGGGATGATTTAACAGGTCTTTCCATTCTGTAATTACTAATTACTGGGTAATTACATAATGGAGACGACAGGCAAGAAAGACGAAGATGATGAGCAAGAGGAAGATGACCAGGAGCCGACGCCGGTTGTACCCCGCAAGGCTCTCAAAGACCGATTGTGGACTCTCGTTACCGAGGGAAAATTTAATGATTTGAAGAAGTTTTTCCACATTTTCCGCAAGTTAGATATTCCTTTGGACGAAGATAATGACGACTTTGACGATGATGGCGGGAATGTGTTGATGCAATGTGTGAAGGAGGGGTGTGATCGTGGCCCTTCCTCCTTCGGGCGGGATTATATCCGGTGCTGTCGTATGCTCGTGGAGAAGGGGGCGTCGCTGGACGACCAGGATAAAGCGGGTCGAACCCCCCTCCACTGGGCTGTGTTCAGTAAAAATGTGAGTTTTGTTAATGAATTACTGGAAAGTGGGGCCGACCCGAGCATCCGAGACCAAGATGGAATGGATCCATTTCACCTTAGTATCATCATGGGCGCTAAGGAAATATTTAACGCCATCGTCAGAGACAGAGAAGTGGAGGTAAGTGTTCAATGATTATAGAAGTGTTCGGTCTAAAGGTATCTGTGTTATCACATATTTCAATAAGGCCTTAGAAAAAAATTGTCGTTAGGATGGTTAGTATGAGACAATCCTGTATATCGTCAGTGTTGTGGTAGAGGTGATTGCTAAATAGTTCTATATATCGTCAGTGTTATAGTAGAGGTGATTGTCAAACAGTTCTGTATATCGTCAGTGTTGTAGAAGTGTTGATGGTCAAAAAGTTCTGTATATCGTCAGTGTTGTAGTGTTGATGGTCAAACAGTCCTTTATATCGTCAGTGTTGTAGTAGAGGTGATGGTCAAACAGTCCTGTATATCGTCTGTGTTGTAGTAGCGTTGATGGTCAAACAGTTCTGTATATGGTCAGTGTTGTAGTGTTGATGGTCAAACAGTTCTGTATATCGTCAGTGTAGTAGTGTTGTTGGTCAAACAGTTCTTTATATCGTCATTGTAGTAGTGTTGATGGTCAAACAGTTCTGTATATCGTCAGTGTAGTAGTGTTGATGGTCAAACAGTTCTGTATATCGTCAGTGTTGTAGTAGTGTTGATGGTCAAACAGTTCTGTGTATCGTCAGTGTTGTAGTAGTGTTGATGATCAAACAGTTCTGTATATCGTCAGTGTAGTAGTGTTGATGGTCAAACAGTTCTGTATATCGTCAGTGTTGTAGTAGTGTTGATGGTCAAACAGTTCTGTATATCGTCAGTGTTATAGTAGAGGTGATTGTCAAACAGTTCTGTATATCGTCAGTGTTGTAATCGAGATGATGGTCAAACAGTTCTGTATATCGTCAATGTTGTAATCGAGATGATGGTCAAACAGTTCTGTATATCGTCAGTGTTGTAATCGAGATGATGGTCAAACAGTTCTGTATATCGTCAGTGTTGTAGAAGTGTTGATGTTCAAACAGTTCTGTATATCGTCAATGTTGTAGAAGTGTTGAGGTCAAACAGTTCTGTATATCGTCAATGTTGTAATCGAGATGATGGTCAAACAGTTCTGTATATCGTCAGTGTTGTAATCGAGATGATGGTCAAACAGTTCTGTATATCGTCAGTGTTGTAGAAGTGTTAATGGTCAAACAGTTCTGTATATCGTCAGTGTTGTAGTAGTGTTGATGGTCAAACAGTCCTGTATATCGTCAGTGTTGTAGTAGTGTTGATGGTCAAACAGTTCTGTGTATCGTCAGTGTTGTAGTAGTGTTGATGGTCAAACAGTTCTGTATATCGTCAGTGTAGTAGTGTTAATGGTCAAACAGTTCTGTATATCGTCAGTGTTGTAGTAGTGTTGATGGTCAAACAGTCCTGTATATCGTTAGTGTTGTAATAGTGTTGATGGTCAAACAGTTCTGTATATCGTCAGTGTAGTAGTGTTGATGGTCAAACAGTTCTGTATATCGTCAGTGTAGTAGTATTGATGGTCAAACAGTTCTGTATATCGTCAGTGTTATAGTAGAGGAGATGGTCAAACAGTTCTGTGTATCGTCAGTGTTGATGGTCAAACAGTTCTGTATATGGTCAGTGTTGTAATCGAGATGATGGTCAAACAGTCCTGTATATCGTCAGTGTAGTAGAGATGATGGTCAAACAGTTTTATATATGCTAGACAGTCCTGTATAGGTGAGACAGTCCTGTAAAGGTGAGACAGTCCTGTATAGGTGAGACAGTCCTGTATAGGTTAGACAGTCCTGTATAGGTGAGACAGCCCTGTATAGGTGAGACAGTCCTGTATAGGTTAGACAGTCCTGTATAGTCCTGTATAGGTGAGACAGTCCTGTATAGATGAGACAGTCCTGTATAGGTTAGACAGTCCTGTATAGGTGAAACAGTCCTGTATAGGTGAGACAGTCCTGTATAGATGAGACAGTCCTGTATAGGTTAGACAGTCCTGTATAGGTGAAACAGTCCTGTATAGATGAGACAGTCCTGTATAGGTGAGACAGTCCTGTATAGGTGAAACAGTCCTGTATAGGTGAAACAGTCCTGTATTGATGAGACAGTCCTGTATATGTGAGACAGTCCTGTATAGGTGAAACAGTCCTGTATAGATGAGACAGTCCTGTATAGGTGAAACAACCCTGTATAGGTGAAATAGTCATGTATAGGTTAGACAGTCCTGTATAGGCGAAACAGTCCTGTATAGGTGAAACAGTTCTGTGTATTGTTCGTGCAGGAGAAGAAGAATTGATGGTGAAGTGGTTCAGGTGACATTCAGATACCTTCAGTGTTGGTATGCTGTCCTCTTCAATATTTCTAGGATTTTGATCAAATGAGCTACATACACGACTTGAAATGACGCGATACCTCGGTTTTTCTGTAAATAATCCTTTTTCTTTATTGATTGGATAGTAGATTAAAGCGACGCGGTCTTGTAATCGCTTTCACTGGAAAATATTTGTTGTTATTGCGATGTTGACGAAAGGCATTTTATTCAACAAAGCGTTCTGTTTAAAATCCGAATCTGTTCAGAGCTTGCCTTCAATAGAGTATTAAAACTTCCATTTATAAGTGTCTTCAGGCGTATACAGTTACTTCTCTCGTTGTGAATTATCTGGAAAGGTAATCGGTATTTATTCTAATTGTGTGTGAATTCTCCAGTGTAGTCCTAACCTATTTTTGACCCATAGAATGTTGAGAAGCTGTACCAAGAACTTGTAAAATCCCAGATATAAACAGTTACTTTTTATATTACATTTTTCACGTTGTAAACGATAATACGCTCCTCGTGTTGTCGTCTAAGTAGAATGTATACGTTTGATGTGAAATCAGTGGAATGTGATTGAAAAATACAAGCATTGACTGTATTGTGTTCACATTTATACTAATGTAGTGTAACCATCACAGGGTCTCATTTAAGTGAGAGGACACACGTGCTAAACTATGACATTACTTATTATTTTCCGTGTACCCCATAAATGAAAAAAATCTGATATGAGTTTTCTTTTCATGAGAGATTTTAAGAATGGAGTGTTGGATGTTTTATTTTGCGAGACTTGATGGGCAAACGTTTTAAAAATCAAGTCGAGTTTCAAAAAGATTTACATAAAATGAAATCAAATTTAAGATAATTTTTGCCTTATAAGTAAATTTGGCAGTTTTTTTTAGATAAAATCTTTAGAACAACATCATGCACAGGCAGCCATTTGTTGTGCCTTTTTCAATTTATAACGTAACATAATTTTCGTTACTATGACATCACAATTGATTTTTTGACTGACACAGCCAATGAAACACTTTTCAGCATTGGTCAAACTGGTAAAGTATGTATTGGATGAGTAACTCTAAAGACATTTTATCTTAACCATTGTGACGAGATGATTAATCTATTCCATTATTTTTGTTTCAAGAATAATTTGTACTTCCTTTTTTGTATATACAGGTACTTAGATATGGTTTTCTCGAGACAACTCCTGTATCTAATAGTGGCTATTGCCCTAAATGGCCCCGTGAATATGATGTAAAAATGTATTTGTAAAGATTGATTTTTTTCTGTCGAATATTGACTCTTTAAAGATACCATGACTTACCCAAGACTGAACTGGAGATCACAACACTAGGGAAACAGTGTATCGTTGGCGAGATATAGGTGTAAAATAACGATGTAAACTATTATCACCACATAACATCATCACGAATCATGATCTATTTCTGGAGTTAATATCGAATTCTGATTAAAAAAAAAAACTATGAGAAATTGTTTATTGGTAACTTCACGAGGAATAAACCTGATCAAGGAGATTTCGTGAGATAAGTTTTAACAAAATTTTGCTACCGTTGTATAAAGTGGTTTTATATCAGTATCTATACGTCACGCGGTCAACTGTAGTTTACACAGTGACGTTAACGTGAAGTTTGATCTAATCTTATACTAACGTAAAAGTGTCATTTACAAAATAACGTTTACAAAACTGTGTTCAACGAGTTATTGAAATTAAAGTAAAATATACATATCATTGTAGTACAGAAATTCGGGGTTAAAGTTTAAAAGGTTAAACATCAATTATCTGTATCACCATAACATTTAAACCGATGTTATTGTTACATGTAAAATGTATTTATATGTTTTGAGTATGTTATGAAGACGGGATTACGTCTGTAAAGATTGGGATAAAATGTCTATATTTAAATAATTCAAAAAGGGTTAGATTCCTTTCAACTGGTAAATTACATCTAAATGAAGACATATACTCGTTACTGGACAATGATGTCAGATGTTTTAAAAGTCCAATCTAGACAAACTGTATATAGAAATATGTACAGCGATTATCCTTCGATAAACCTGCCAGGTATATTTTCGTAAAGTTGACGTTAAGTCACCGTCAACCATCAACAATATCAGTTTTTGTTCTGTACAAATATTGAAGTAAAATTGAGTTTTCAATTCAAACCAGGTTACAAAAGCAAGTTTTCTTTAAGGACAAAAAAATATATTTTAGATGAAAACATATTTATTCTTTTTAATAGCATTTTAAAGTAATATACACCTGGAATCTATGGTAGATTGTCTAGAAATACCCTCAAAGTATTAGAATTCCTCGACCTATTGACGTCATCCAATGAGTTCAAGTCAGGAGATTTGACTTATAACTTCTGTTAAAGGCGGTGGCAATCTGTGGTGACTAAATACCATTTGCGCAAGTGAACACATTAGGAGTCAACAGTGGTATAACGTCACTTAACACGTAATTGTTAGACTTACGAGAGACTTTTGGAGACGGATCGAAGGTCATTGTGGTACTTAAGAAGTGTTGGAATAAAATTACTCTGTATTTGTCGCGTTAATTCTCTATATGTGTTTAACCATATTCAGTCAATAGAAACCAATTGTTTTAATGTGTTCTGCAAGCTAAAATATTGTTTTTATCATCACATCTGACAACACTAGTGAAGAGCCTGATCATCTAACGTTGTCATAGCGTATCCATAAACTGCATAACAGTGTTGACTATATAGTCTATATATATCTTTATATACATTGACTTT